GAGAAATTCACACGACATTCTTCCGTATTGCAGCTACTCGTTAACGACTATAATATGAATCCGTAAGAAAGGGGGGTGGTATAGAAAACAGCCAAAAAGGGGGGTATAGTAGAACGGGTCTATCATAACACCCACCCCGCACAAGCTACCCGGGGGTGTACAATTATGGGGGGGTGTTTTTCCGGGAGTATACGGATATCAAACTGGGTACATTCCTGTGGGGACACTTGTGTCTCAATCCCCGTTTTTCCCGAGTCGCGCCTGTAAATTTGCCAAATGTTGTGTCACAAACAACCAATGTATCGCGACCCTGCGCGCGCGACAGTGGGCACAGCCAGGTGGGTGCGTACTATTGGTTGCGACCAATAGGATTGTGCCCACCCAGTTTTCCCGCCGGGCAGGGGGGCTAAACATATCGCATGTATACAACCACGGCTCCAAGTACAAAAACGCAAGCATCACAGAGCTAAACTGCACCACTGTCTAGCAACCATGGCATCGCCCCGCGAGGTGCCATTCCTCATGCGCCTACTTGTCGCATGGGTTACGTTCTACTACAGCATATTCATGGACGCCATCGCCAAGTCGGTCGGTGGCTTGCTGGAGGCGAACGTCTTCAATGACGAGGTGTCCTCGTCATCCAGCTCTCGCGCCTCCAACCGTACCGCAGAGCGGAAACGAAGGGCTGGGCTACGCCGGCGGAGATACCAGTTGCTGCTAGAGGACCTGGACGGCATGGGGGAGGATCAGTTCAGAGATATGTTTCGCATAAACCGTGGCATTCTCGAATACATTGTCGCCGGGATGACGCACTACATGCAACCGTACGTGGACAGGTACCTAATCAGTCATGAAGTGGCATGCCTTGTACCTATCAAATACCTCGCAAGTGGCATGTCTTTCGTAGACTTGTCCTCCGTGTTCGGGCTGTCCAAGACCCTGTGCCACATGCTTGTTGACGCGCTCCTCATGCATTTCCCGTCCGTCTTCAAGCAGCAGTGGGTCCACTTCCCGACCCGCGACGACCTCGACGAGATGGCCGCAGAGTTCCGCGCCATCAAGGGGTACCTGCGGTAGTGGGGGCTATAGACGGCACACACATACCCATGAAGGGGATGGAGGGGCACAGGCAAGAGTACTACACGCGGAAGTCCTGTTACGCCGTCCAGTTGCAGATCACATGCGACGCGCGAGGCATCATATGGGACTATTTGATCGGATACCCGGGCAGTGCGCACGATCAGAGAGTGTTCATGAACAGCGCGTTACACGAAAGGTTGTACAACGGCGACATAGCGCCATACCAAATAGTGGGAGATGCTGCCTACCCACTCAGAGACTTCTGCCTGACCCCCCTACATGCTCCCCGTGAAGGCCTAATGGAGGACTGGGAGCAGTGCTTTAACTATTGCCAAAGCGCAACGCGCATGGCAGTAGAGCGCTGCATCGGCGCCTTCAAAGGCCGGTGGCGTCTATTCGCGGGCCGCAATGACTGCAAGCTCTGGCGCATTCTTGCAGGGGCGTCTTGTGGCGTCATCCTGCACAACATGTGCGAAATGATGGGCGCAGTAAGGCGCGTCAATGCATCGTGGGCAAACTTGCCCCGAAACCGGGACCCATGGTGGACTCGTGGCGCGGTAGCAGAGTTCATGTGGGAGCCATGTGACCCATGCACGCAAGAGAATCTTCGTGAAAGGCGCAAGCGGCTGGGCGAGGCTCTGGAGTCGTCTTACCTCACTCGGCGGCGCCGCGGACCCACACCTCCTCACCCGCATCTGGGTTAGAGGGGTCTTCGCCCGCCTGCCCGCGACGAAGCCAGCCGTCGTCGCCGCCTTCGGCGGCGTGCGAGTCGGTCATGTTGTCCGCGTGGGCAGGGATGTCGTCGCGGACATGCGGGGAGGGTGCGGGCTGCTGCACGCGTTCCCGAGCAATACGCGCGTCCTGATCCATCCACGCGCGGACGAGGCCTTCGAGCCTGCTCATGGCGTCTGAGTGGCAGCCTTTGATCGTCTCGCACACCAGCTTTGCAGTGGCCATCGTCGCCGTCTCTGCCACACGTGGGCGCTTCGATGTAGGAGTTCCCTGTGGCGGCGGAGCTGCACACACGGTGGATGCACACGAACAGTAGACGAGGTGTTATGTACCCTAAACATTTTAATGATGTAATGTGTGCGTAAAATGTTGTCACAAAATGTGTCATTCAACAAACCCGCGAGTGCCACCGTTGATGCAACACATACATACCAGTGAATGTCGGCGTAGAGGTGCAGGGCGCCGAAGTGGACGGGACCGCGTACCCGCACGGCACGTTGACGTGTGCCGCACCGCCACCGTCGACGGCGTCAGGGTTGCCCACCGCCTTGTTGTTCTGGAAAAGCGCCATGTACGGGTACCAGTGGGGCTTGCACACGGCACCCTTGCCGCTCACCTTTTCCCCCTTCTTGATCTGCTTGTACATGTTCACAAGATTGCGCCACTGCTTCTGAAGCGCGTTTACACCGCGCACCCAACCGGGATTCTCCTTCTCGAGGTGACGCGCGAGGCGGGCCAAGTACTGAGAGCCCTGCTTCCCGAGGAGGGGCCCGAGCTCGTCCTTCATGAACCAACGCGCAGCCACGAAGATTGTGTTCTCGCGGGGGGACCACACGCTCCGCTTAACAGGATGCAAGTTACGGGTCTTGGCAGCGGCACGCGGAGGTTCCCCGCCCTTAGCAGCAGTCTTGGTTCCCGCAGCGGCAGACGCACGGCCGCGACGAGGAGCCGGGGACGCAGGCTGGGCCTCTTCGGGAGCATCCTCGTCGTCATCGGCGTCCTCGTCGGCGTCAACTTCATCCTCGGAGGGGGACATGCCCTTGTCCTGCTCCTCGCCAGAGTCCCGCGTCATCTTCGCAGGCCTCGTCGCACTCGTTGTAATCAGAGTCCGCGGCGTCCATCATCGTCATCGAAGGCAGCATCGTCGTTGATGCGGGATGAGGCAACCCGGTCGGCATGAACGGCGTCCGCGGGTAGGGACATCGCGCGGGGCTTCGAACGAGGTGTCCCCCGCACCAGGCGCTCCTTCGGGCAAAGGGCCGGCGGGCTTTGCGGCCGGCCGCGATTTGTTTGTTCGTCCAAGCGATGTACGGGATCTTGGTCGAGATCCCGCGGGCACAAGTCAACAGAACTAGCTACGCTCTTGCGCTTACGGGCCATGGCTACAGCGTGCCAAAGAAGACCCTGGCTAGACTTCGCAACAAGAAAGAGGAAGCTCGGGTTGGGAGAAGAAGAACAGATTGGAGCGGGAGCGTGCTGTCAGTTGTGGTTGGAACGATGGGCAAACATTCGGGCAGGGATGTGACCGTGTGTGCTGAAGGACCAGTCATATGTCAGCCCGGGCAGAGCGGTTTCCATCCCCGCGCGGAAACGTGCCCAGTTCGGGCGTCCAGGTGCATGCTGTACAGTGTGAGATTTCGACACGCGTGCGATTTTCGGGATGTGACGGGGCCTCGTGTAACTCGTCCGCGACACAAGCGCAATTCACGCCAACCAATGTAAAATACAGTGGGACTCGCATAATCGCGATCCGCTTTTGTGACAGGGCACGGTATATGCTGTTTATTAGATGTCACAAAGTGATTGAGACACGGTATATCCTGTGGAGACACTTGTGTCTCAATCCTTTTGTGACGCGTAAAACCAGCTTATAACGTACAATGTCACAAACGCGTGTCGCCCTTGTGCGACTTTTAATGTATTTTTCATTTGTCAGCGTGAAACGCCCTGATGTCGCGGACTAGTTGCGTATCGACCCCGTCATTGTAAACAAACTCTGTACGCGGTTCGAAATGTCAATGCACTTGGACATTCCACAGTAAAAATCTCGCGCGGGAAAAAGTTCCGCTCGTCAAAACCCCACCCGAACCAGACAGTTGAAGAAACAGGTGTTCAGTCAAGTTTGAAATCCAATCAAATGAGCACAGCTGTAAATTTCGCCTGGTCGCACAGTTTCGTGATACACTCATTTTTTGTGACGCGAGATTGCAAAATGTGTAGACGCGACTCGGAAAAAAGGGGATTGAGACACAAGTGTCTCCACAGGAACGTACCCTAAAGGGCAGCAGGTGCATACCTACTAGTGCTGCTTTAGCTTATAGGGTAGGATCACTTGATCCGACCCTTTCTTTGCACTATATATAGGTGTGCAAACAATCCTTACACATCACTTTTGGGGCATTATATTAAAGTACCCCGCACGCCTTGCGTCGCACTGGTCTAGTAATCGACTGAACTGGCAAATCTCTGGCTGATGGTGCAATCAGCATTGAGTACAAACATGCCCTTGAAAGTCGTGTGTCTCAGTTTTCCTACCGTATGTAAACATGAAAAAATTCTAAGCGTTTATCGCTTCCAAATTTGCGTATTGTGAAAGCGAAGCTGACTGTAACGCAATTTCGCGCATCGTCAAAGCGCGGTAGTCGCCTTCTCTGAATACATAATGTGGGCTGGGCTGGGGTCATTCTTCCCCCACCCACGTCTCTCATTTTACAATCACTCAAGTTCAATTCCCACCCACCCTCCCCATGCTAGTCATCTTCAGAGAGTACCGTATGGCCCCGGATATAAGCGCAGGCCTATTAAAAGCGCATGCGCTTGTATCTGGAGCAATGCGCTTATGGCCGATCCTCAATTATAAGCGCACCCCTTATAAAGCCCTGATATATTATAAGCGCATGTGTAATTTTATTTATAATTCTTCATTAAAACGGTAACGAATCTCAGTTTTGCAGCGATGCCACAACCCATTTTCGCTTACATTGACTTTCGAAGACCTCTCACATCCTGCGCGTCCAGTCAGCACGAGCTGGCACGCCCTCAAAGTGAGGTGTTACACTGTATTTTGTCTCTGGGCGCTCGCGAAGAATCGCCCGCGCGCGATTTTGACATGTGACTTTCTACAATTTCGATTCGATTGAAATCTGAAGGATGAGATGTACAATTTGGTGCATTGAAATATATATTTGTATTTGTTATATTATAAGCGCATGCGCTTATAATTTTTACTCAATTATAAGCGCACCCCCCAAAAAAACACTGTTTTTATTATAAGCGCAGGTGCGCTTATATCCGGAGTAATACGGTATCTTGATATGTGTGAGAAGAAACGAGGAATGGATTGACTAAGGGAAAGTTGGGTACAAATGCAAACCCTAGAAAACTGTACCCCATATGTGCTACCCCACTATAGCCTACAGTAGCTATGTCATATAAATCTGACACACCCCCATAGGCAAAGTGGGGGAGAACAAGGGGTCACAAGACCAGTCAAGCAAAGCAAAGCAAGCTCAGGGTGGATCACAAAGTCACCACACATTCCGAGCACAAGTTCAAGGCCACAAGGCCAGTTCACATGCAGGATTACATATATATATAAGGCTAGACAAGCAAGAGCAGGAGTATATATATATGCATCAGTACAAACAAGGTCAAGGGGTGAGCAAGTGAGGCAAGGTGGGCACAAGACCCAGCTGAGTACAGAAGCGCTGATGATCACAAGGCGCAAGTGCCTTGGTGAAGATATCAGCAGTGTTGGCCTGAGAGGCCACGTACGCAAGCCGCAGCTGACCACGCTGCTGTAGCTCACGAGCAAGGAAGTAGCGGAGAGCAATGTGCTTCGTTCTGTGCTCCAGTCTCTGCTCTCGACACAAGGCCAGCATGGCCTTGTTGTCTATGTACAGCACTGGAGGAGAACGAGGCGGCTCTCCGAGGTCAGTCAGCAGGTAGGTGAGCCAGCGAAGCTCCTGTGCAGCCATGGCCCCGGCGTAGATCTCAGCCTCACAACTGGAGCCGAGAACAGAAGACGAGCGGGTAGCCCGCCACGAAACAGAGCCGGAACCAAGGATGAAGGTGTAACCCTGTGACGACCGCTGCGTAGCCTGGTCGTACAGCCCAAGAAGCGTCTGCGTGCCCAGTGAGGACCACTGGACTCTGCCCTCCAAGCACAAGCCCCATGCCCGACGTACTGCACAAGTAACGCAACACCCTCTTCGCTGCAGCCATGTGCTCCGGTCTGTGTCTCCCAGGAGCAACATAGCGTGCGAGAATGCTAAGAGGGTATGCGAGGTCAGGTCGTGTGCAGGTCATCAGGTACATGAGGCAGCCAACAAGCTCTGGGTACGGGCCACTCTACTCTACGGACTCATCCGAAGGCAGAGCTGAGAGCGAGTGGCGAGTAGGCAGAGGAGTGGCCTGAGGCGAGGAGTACGTGAAGCCGAAGCGCTGAAGGACCTGCTGCACCATGTGTGACTGAGTCAGGGTAATGGTGCGGCGTGCTCTGTCCCGGGTGATCTGCAAGCCAAGGTAGCTGCGCAGTTCACCCAGGTCTGTGCACGTGTGTCTCTTCTGCAGCTCGGACTTCACGTGGGCGAGTCCAGCAGTGTCAGCTGTGGCAAAGACCAAGTCGTCGACGTACACGAGGATGTAGAACGGCGGCAAAGAAGTGTCGGTGCGCAGAAACAGCGACGGGTCGGCAGTAGAGGGAGCAAACCCAAGAGCCGCAAGTGTAGTCCTCAGTGTGTCGTGCCACTCACTGCGTGCCTGGCGGAGACCGTAGACTGGCCGCCGGAGGCTCCACTGGGTGCCAGGAGGAAAAGACCCAGTGAAGCCAGGTGGGCGACGCAGCCAGATCTCCTCGTGCAGGCTGCCCTGCAAGAAAGCAGTGCTGAAGTCAAGAGAGTGCAGCTCGTAGTCGCGGTGAGCAGCTATGTGCAGCAGTACCCGAAGAGTGGTCATCTTCGGGGTGGGAGAGAAGGTCTGAAAGTAGTCAACTCCCTGCCGCTGACTGAAGCCACGGGCCACGTAACGCGCCTTGAAGACAGGCGGAGAACCCGGCGGTCGCTTCACCCTGAAATCCACATGCCACTGACGATGTTCGCCCCAGGCGGGGGAACCTCGTCAACGTAGGTGCCTGTGGACTTCCAGGAAGCCATCTCTGTGTCCATAGCTGCCTGCCACTGAGAGGAGTAGGGACCCTCTATCGCCTCCGCGTAAGAGCGCGGAGTCGGGATGTCAAGTGCATCCGGGTCTCCCTCAGGGGTAAGCAGTACGGACACGAGATGAGGTGAAGCAGCAGCCAAACACTGGAACTCCTCCTGCCTGTCCTCAAGGACGTCCGTGCCAAGGGCACACTCACCCCCGACGGACGGAGGACAGACAGACTCAGACTCAACGACAAGACTAGCAGCGTAGTCTAGACGACAGCGAGCAGCAAAGTCGACGAGCTCAGCAACTAGGGCAGACGCAGCAGTGGACTCAAAGGAAGGGTCAGTGACGACAGTAGCAAGGAGACGCATGACAGTAGGACTGGCAGCACGAAGAGAGTCCGACTCCGGGTCGGGAAGAGCAGGAAGAGAGGACTCAGGAGGAGAAGGCAAAGGGGCACGCAGAGGAGCAGTGGACGGACGCAGAGACATCCGGTGCGTGCCAGGGACAGGAGGAGGACGCTGACGCGAACCACGACCACTAGTGCGAGCAAGACGGACAGGCGACGCAGGGCGAGACGCAGGCTCACGACGCTCAGCCAGACCTCCAGTAGGACCAGTGTAGGGAGAAGGAGCGGGCAGTGGGGAGGCCGGCTGTAACTGTAACTGTGACGGGACAGGCTGTGGACACTCTAAGGGAGGAGGAGGACCAGTAGAAGGCGGGAGACCAAGAACCTGCTGAAGGAGCGGAACGAAGTACGGCCGTGGCCGCGCGGCGACTCCAGACACAGCAGGGACAGCACCAGTACCCCCAGCGGCAGCACCAGCGTCAGCAGCACCTCCAGCTCCAGTACCATCCAGCAGCACCAGTAGTACCCCCAGCAGAACCGCCTCCAGGACCGACAGCAGTAGCCTCAGCGCCAACACCCGCAGCAGCTCCAGCTCCAGTCGTACCCGCAGGCCCAGCAGCTCCAGTACTCCCAGTACGAGCACCTCCGGGACCCGCGGCACCAGCACCCTCAGCAGCCGAAGAACCTCCAGCTCCAGCAGCACGCCTCCAGCGCCGGGCAAACCACTCTCGCAACTCCTGTGGAGAGAGTGGCTCCCGCCGAGACGAGGCACCCGGAGAACCTCCAGGCTCAGCACCGCCAGACGCCACACGAGCAAGCCCAGCTCCCTCAGGCTCCGTACCCCCACGCTCAGCACCTCCAGGCGTAGCACCCCCAGGCTCAGCACCCCCAGGCTCAGCACCCCCAGGCTCAGCACCCCCAGTAGTAGCACCCCCAGGCTCAGCAACCCCAGGCTCAGCACCCCCAGGAGTAGCACCCTCAGGCTCAGCACCCCAGGCGTAGCACCCACACGCTCAGCACCCCCAGAGTCAGCACCCTCAGCAGCACCAGGGTCACCAGTAACCTCGACATGCTCAACGGCGTCTACCTGGGACACACCTGAAGGGGCAGGACCCTGAGGGGGGAGGGGGTCTACCGGGGGGGGGGCCTGGCACAAGGAAGAGCGGTGGCGGGGGGAGGGACGGAGTGCGGTAGGGGAAGAGGCGGTAGTAGGGGACCGACTCGTCAAACGTGACGTCCTGGGAGGACAGAACACAGCGAGAGGTGGGGTGGTAGAACTGCCACCCTGGCGCGTCAGGGGGGAAGCCAAGGAAGACGCAAGGAGCAGCACGAGGGGACAGCTTGTCCGCAGACAAGTCGCGGACAAACGCCCGAGATCCCCAGACAACGGAACGCAGACGCATCGCCAACCTTCCCCGTCCACAGCAAAGCTGGGGAGGTCTCCGGCATGGAGACCCTGGGGTGAAGGTTGATCTGATGCGCCGCATACCGAACCGCAAACGGCCACAGAAAATGGGGGGCAGCCGCATGCATCATGGACGTACGGGCGACGTCCATGACCATGCCAATGCGGCGCGCAGCAATCCCATTTTGCTGTGGAGAGTCCGGAAGCGTGAAGGTCTGGCGGATGCCTCGTGCACGACAGTAGTCTCGCAGAAGGCCAGAGGAGAACTCTCCACCTCTGTCAGAGTGCAGACGCAGAACAGGAAACTCCGAGCCGAAACTCTGCCTGAGCTGGAGACGAGCTGCGCGGATCCAGTCGATCAACACCGCAGTGACATCACCCTTGCTGCGCAAGGGGAAGACTGTGGTGTAACGCGAGTAGTCATCAACCACCAGCAGGAAGTAGCGCTCGTGACCCTGTCCACGGACGCGGGCCGGGCCCCACACGTCCATGTGAAGCGTCTGCAGCGGGGCCTCTGTCGGAAACTGGGAGGAGTGAGGGGCAGCCCGCTGCCGCCCCTCGACACAAGGGACGCAGGTAGGGCCGGGCCCCGGAGGAAGGGGAGGGAGGGACCGGGGAAGACCAGAGACAAGGACACGGGAGGCCATGCCTCGGAGACGAAGCAGGGAGGGGTGACCAAGGCGGTGGTGCCAGAGGAGAGTCTCGTGCGACAGGAGGCGACACGAACAGGGGGCAGACTCAGGACCAGACCTGGACGCTGCAGCAAACACCTGACCCGATGCAGCTACCTGACCAGACGCAGTGTCTGGAGGAGACGCAGTGGTCAGTGTGTACAGGCTCGACCCCGGCCGACGTATAAACGTGGCCAGGTGTCGGCCTGTCCGAGCGTCCGTGCAGTGGGTCACCCGCTGACTCGCAGGAGTGAACTGGTGAACCCCCGCATCCTGTAGGTCAGCACCGCTCACCAAGTTCGTAGAGAACGAGGGGAGGTAAAGACCAGACAGGGTGCCAGAGGGGGCCGCCGGACACGGGAGGACAGTGGAGAAGTGAGCAAGGACAGGACCCCCAGAGGGGTCTGCCAGAGAGACTGCAACTGGCCGGCCAAGCGGCGTGAGTGTGGTGCGGTCTCGAAAGAAGGAGCGAGAAGCCCCCGAGTCAAGGGTGAAGGTGTGGGAGGCCGAAGCCGACGCAGTACCTGAGAGAGCAGACTCACCAGCACCTGAGGGAGCAGACGCACGAGCACCTAGAGCAGCAGCCTCGCTAGCACCTAGAGCAGCAGCCTCACCAGTACCTAGAGCAGCAGTCTCAATGCCCGGGTCGGGCGGAAAACACCGGTAACAGTCACCCTCATCACTAATAGTCACAGCATACATGGCAGCAAGAATAGCATCAAAGTCAAGGTCAAAGACAGCTACACCCGCCCTAGACAGCTCGCCCCAGCGGGGGATCTCAGTGGCCTCAGGGAACTGGTGACACCAAGCGTCCGTCAGGCGGCCAAAGCAGCGCTGGGTGGAGTGCGCACCCCCGCACTGCTCACAGCCGCGCGGTCGCCGGTGCGTAGGACGTAGGTGCACGGACCAGTACCCCCACCCCGCTGGCGTGCAGTGTACCACTCACGGAGCTGCTGAGGGGGGGGGGATGTCACGAGTGCGCTGCTGCCGCTGCTGCTGCTGCTGCTGGCGCTGACCACCACCGGAGCCGACCCTCTGCCCAGCGCCACCCCCGACCAGCTCCACCTCCTCCGCCGCCGCCTCCTCCACCGCCGCCACCTCCGCCACCTCCGCTCCCACCGCCACCGCCGCCGCTGCCTCCGCCTCCACTGCCGCCACCGACACCTCCACCCCCACCACCACTCCCACCACCACCGCCACCCCCTCCACTGCCGCCACCCGCCACCTCCGCCACCCCCGCCAGCCCCTCCAGCACCCTTGCCCCCCTTGCCCTTGCCGGTGCGGCGTCTCCCGCTCGGGGCAGACGCAGCGCCGACCGACTCGAGACCAACGAGGTCGGCCGCAGCAGCAGAGGCAACAGAGGGCAAAAGGGGGGAGGGGGAACACCCTCAAAGACGGGGGTGCGAGGGTCACCACGAGAGGCTCCTACACCGACTATGCTCTTCTCTGCTGCTAGGAGGGCCTTCTCGAGGAGGTCAACGGTGAGAGTGGTGGGGCAAACTGAGAGGAAGTGGTCCCTGACTACGCGAAGGGAGTCAGGGAGCCGGGTGACTATGTAGTAGAGGGTGATGTACATGGGGGGGGGGGTTCTTGGCGCAGAACTCAGCAGGAAGCGCAGCGCGGTAGCGAGTGTCACTAGTGCGGAGGTGCGTAATGAGGTCAGCGACTGTGGGAAAGGCAGCAAGGTCAGGGAAGAGGTACGGTAGCATGAGGCGGCTCAGTGCAGCAGTGGCAGGGGAGGAGTAGCGCGCAACTACAGCATCGTACAAGGTGTGAGCACTCTTGTACTGGCTAAAGTGCGCACGCTCAGAGGTAGGCAGGTGGCGACGCACAGCTAGACGTGCAGCAGCATCGCGTGTGGCCCACTGTGAGCGAACAGTGGCGTCGGCATCAGCAGCAGGGGCAGGAGAGGCACCAGAGGTGAGGTCAAAGAGGGAGAGACCGTCTGCCCTATCGCACTGTAAGAAAAGCTGCAGGTCATCTACCCAGACGTCAAAGTCAATGGCCCGACCCTCAGCGTCAAAGGCGAGGACACTAGGGGTAGCCATGACAGCAGTAGACTAGCAGTGCGAACAGTAGGGTAAGGGCAGTGCAGTGATAGAGGCGCTGCTCTTACCGGACAGGGCGGCTCGGGCGGCTCGGCAGGACGGCGGGTCGGCGACTCGGCGGCTCGGGCGGCTCGGCGGCTCGGGCGGCTCGGGCGGCTCGGCGACTCGGCGGCCCGGGCGGCTCGGCTGCTCGGCGGCTCCGCTGCTTGGCTGCAGGGCGGCTCGGCGGCTCGGGTGCTCGGCTGCTGGGCGGCTCGGCGGCTGGTGTGGTTGGTGACGACCGCGGCAGCAGTCGCAGAAGCTGTGGCGACTGCTGCTGCAGAGACGGCTGCGGCTGCTGCCTCAGGGACGGCGGCTGCCGGCCGTTAGGGGCCGCGAAGAGCGGCGGAGAGGCCGGGAAGGGCGCCACGAGGGGCCGTCGAGGGCGGCGACGGGCCGTGAGGAGGCCGCGGAAGGCGGCTCGAGGGGCCGCGAGGGGGCCGTAAGGGGCCGACTGGCGGCGGGAGGGGCCGAAGGGGCCGCGGGAGGGCCCGTAAGGGTAGCGTGAGGGGCCGTAAGGGGCCGTAAGGGGCCGTAAGGGCGGCGCGAGGGGCCGTAAGGGCGGCGCGAGGGGCCGTAAGGGCGGCACGAGGGGCCGTGAGGGCGGCGCGACGGGCCGTAAGGGCGGCGCGACGGGTCGTAAGGGCGGCGCGACGAGCTGTAAGGGCGGCGCTAGGGAGCCGTGAGAGGGCCGCTAAGGGCGAAGCGACGGGGCCGTGAGGGGCCTAGCGAGGGCGCGACGGTAGGGAGAGCACACAGGGCGCGACTCGGGCCGGAGCGAAGCGCGCTCCGGGCCGGAAAAAAAAAATTTCGTGGTGGTGGGCCCTAGGAATCGTTCCCACTAGGGAACCTGCTCGATACCATGAGAAGAAACGAGGAATGGATTGACTAAGGGAAAGTTGGGTACAAATGCAAACCCTAGAAAACTGTACCCCATATGTGCTACCCCACTATAGCCTACAGTAGCTATGTCATATAAATCTGACAATGTTCTTGGGTTTAGACCCGGGGTTCTATATTTTAAGCTTAGGACCACCATGTGTAATGCTCTTCAAAGGTCAATATCATGCTCTTACGACATTTGACATTACGGTACAAAGCGAACTACAAGAGTCAGGATTATGTCAGACGAAAGGTCAGCTACTACCTGACTAAACTGTCTGGGTAGATGAATACTAATGTTCTGGAGTTGGTTATCTCCTAAACCAAACCCCAAACTCAACACCCCCCTTTCCCCCCCTTCGGAATGGCATTACCTAAGCTAAACAAAGCTTTCCCAAGAAAAGGCAGCAATTCAACCTCCTCCTCCACACCCCCTAGTGTCTCCGCCAGACCAGATATCCCCATTCTCCCTTCCTGTTAAAACCCTCCTATATTCGGCTCCCTTGCAAGAACCTCGATTGCAGCAGCTGCTTTTTCTACGGAAACGCGTCATATTTGTCATATCTCGTGTTAGAGTATCTTTTCCTCCACATCCCCCCACTCCGCGCGTCCCCCCCTTGTCCCCAGTCAACCCCTTCCCCCCACCTCCTTCCGCTTTCCCCCCCCGCCCTCCCTCCCCCCCAGCTTCCCCTCAACATCCTATCCACTCTACCCTCCGCCGCTCCCCCTGCTCCTCCCGCTCCCCCCGCTTCCCCCGTCCCCCGTCCTTCCCCCGCCCTTCCCCCCACCCGCACCTCTCCCCACTCCCCGACGCTCACCTCATCTCCCCCTTCCGCCCCACCTGTTTCCGCTTCCTGCTCTGCTAAATCTCCGACCGACACCCATTGCCCTTCCCCCTCCTCCTCTTCCCCCTCCCCCTGATAATCCCCCCCCCGCACCGTTTCCTCTCTCCCCTCCTCTTCCGCCCCTCCCCGCACCTCCGCCTCTCCTCCGCTTTCCCCCGCCGCCTCCACCCTCCACAGTGCTTCTTTCCGCAATACGTCCTCCTTTTGCTCCAAAAGCTCCCCCTCCTCGCGACATGCAAAAGGATCTTTAGGGTCGGGCAGGTAGCCCTCGTTACAAGCACACGTCACATTCCGCATCAGCCGTTGAGAAACCGAGCTTTTGGGAATGCATGTTCCCTGCCCGCCGCACTGCCCGGCGAACGAAAATGTTTTGCAGAACGCGTTGCAATTGGCGGGTTTTCGCTGAGGCTGGAGAAAGTGTAGCGGGCAGCTGAAAGAACCGGACATGCAGTTCCCCCCCACTGAAACCCGCAAGCCAGGCACGCGGTCACTTGTCGGGCAGATTGAAACGTTTCCCATCATCATTTTCAGCGGCCCGTACAAGTAGTTGTTTGACACGTCGACGAAAAACTCGGATTCGCCGTTGATATCGCCAGTTTTCGCAGGGAAATCGGGCAGCTGACCGGTGAGAAAATTATTCGCCACATTGAGCATGTAAAGGCTGGGCGAATGCGAGAACACATCGGGAATCCGTCCGTACAGTCGATTGTGACTCAAGTCCAGCGAATACAGATTCGAAGCTGTTCCTATCGCGTACGGAATCTGCCCATCTATGCGGTTGTTATTGAGGATGAGCACAGACAAAGACGGGGATGCTCCTAACGAGGGCGGGATCTTCCCGCCAATCTGGTTGTGCTGTAGAATGAGCGAAGTGATCGAACTACTGTTACCGATATCGTCTGGGATCGTGCCGGTCAAATTGTTGTAACCAAAGTCGAGCATGCGAAGATTCGGTAACGAGCCCAACCCAGCCGGGATATGCCCACTAATTCCATTCCTATCTAGAAACAGCGACTGCAGCTTCCATAAACGAGATAAAGTGGCGGGCAAGAAACCGTCGATTTCGTTGTTGCTTAGAATGAGTGACTCCATAGCGGGAAGATTGCCGATATCCCTATGCAGCCTCCCCTGAATCTGACATCCTGACAAATCGATCCGCCTGACTCGACCGCTGGATGGGTCACACGTCACGCCTTTCCACTCGCGGCAAGAGCGGGTTACGCGCCACGTGTCGGAGCCCAGGAATTCGCCCCAAGTCGCCTTGACCGCGATTAACGCGGCGACATCGTCGGGATGGGGAGGCGGGAAATCGTCTGGAGCCGTCGAGACTACGCTGAAGGGAAGGAGGAGAAAGATGGAGAGAGAAGCGATGGCTAGGGACGAAGGGTGGAGTAGCAGACACCGACGGAGTGACGAGAATCGACGAAGTGACTTGATGGTGGATAATATGCGCAATGGTGACGACGTTGGCGCCATCGCGGAAACCGTGAGAAGGCTGTGCAGACCACAGTGCGAATTTTATTGCGTTCAGGGCTTCCTGAGTCAATCAGCAGCTAGGAGGAGTTTATGACGGCAGCGTCTCAAAGAGGCGGCTAAGAAAACGGCCTGTTGATTATCGTCCGTATATTGAAAACATACGAAAGGATAGTAGTACTCTTGCAGCGTACTAACACGGAAAGCTGCCTCAAGTTTCTCTAAGCTGTTTTCTCAGGAATGTTGATGATTGAAAATGAAAGGGAGAGAGAAACTTGAATGAGCAAGAGGAGGGGGAAGGAGGAAAGGGAAGATGGAGTAGCAGACATGTGTTATATTTCGCGAGATCGACGGCGGTGGTCGAAGCACTGGACTCGCGCTGATGGCGGCATGCTTCTGGCACGGCGCGGTAAAAAATTGAACGGCCAAGCTCGCTGACTGCCCTGACTCGCTGTTGCGACTCGCATTATGTCGGTGTAGGGTAGTGCGTTTTACAATACAAGATGGTATATGGGTGCTTAATGAGTGGTCAGGATACAGTATGGATAGAACAAACGAGATAAATTGGCAACAGTTTGTCACGAAAAGTCAAGTCTGTGCTTCCTGTCCGAGAATGGCGAAAGTGCAGCTTCACGTTACAAGAATTCCGCGTGACGAAACCAACCGCCACAACACCCACGCTCCCGCCACGCGCTTTCCCTTCCCCGCGCCACCTCCGCCCATCTCAGTTCCGCATAGTCCCCCGCCAACAACCCATCTGCCCCCTCCCTCCCGCTGAGCCAGGCCTCCCCCCTTCCCCGAGCTCCATTCCCGGTGCCCTTTGCACGGGTTGTACTGTACACTGTACTCCATTTCCCCTTTCTCCCCAAGATCGCAACATACGCGCAAGCACATGTACCCCCATTCACCATTCCCCTCCCCAGGTGCTCCCCCAGTGCTTCTGGTCCCTCCCACCCGTGTTGCTTCCTCTCCCCTCCTTCCCCTACTTTCCCTTCTTCCTAGGCTGCTCCGTCCCTAGTTTCCGCTTCAACAAACTTCACTCACTGGTGTTTTTTTCGTTTTCCCTGTTACCCTGTCCTCCTCCCACTACACGTTTGTTAGGTTTCCTTCCCTTGTGTTGTTGACGGACCTAAACCGTTTACAGCATTTGCCGGCGCTTTTTTTAGATAATTACCTATGCGGTTTCGCCTCCATGGATTTCACAATCGTATGCTGCAGGCGTCCTTATTATTCGTGAGCTAGACTTGACTTTAAGCTGGATAATTGGCCCTGAATAGAAGTATTTAGCATAGCAGCTCCTTTGATATATATAGCTTAATAGGGGTATTTTACCCCTATTTAGGGTTGCGTGAAGCTGGGGGAGCCAATGGCTGTCGTGTCGGACGAGCCGATAGAAGTGAAGTTTCGGTTAGCGGACGGATCGGACATCGGTCCAAATAAGTTCGAGCAGGAGGCTACTGTCTTGTCGCTCAAGGAAAAGATACTTGCTCAATGGCCCGGAGGTATTTAAGCTATGGATTTTTATGTACTACTTTTTTCGTTGACTTGGTGTGGTTACTTCCTTTGCTGTGCTCTTCTGCCAGCCGTCTCTGCGTGCTTGTTTAGTCTCCACGGTTTGTTCCACATGCCACGCTAGCGTCGTTATTCTCGCTTGTTTTTCTCGTACCATTCCGACGACGCCATATCCATGCCTGTTCAGACTGAAGTCTTCCTCTTGACATAAGTTAACGTCACTCCTGTGTCCCCATCACCCGCCTGCGTATGAGCTACCTTCAGTCACGCCCGGCGGTCGCATACGGTTGCCGCTATCTTACGTTGCGCCTTTCTTTTTCGTGCCACGCTGATCGTTTCTCCTTTCCCTACGATAACACCCCCTAAAACAGAATTGAAAGCATTTCGCAAAACTACTCAATGTATGCTTTCCTATCGGAAGGTCGCGAATATAATTCCGCTCTCCCACATCTGTTCCCGATTCCTTTGCTCTGCAGAGGGGGGTCCAAAATCGGTGAATGAGATTACCCTTATTAACGCCGGGAGATTGCTGGAGAATACTAAGACGCTGTCGGAGTCTCGTGTTCCTGTGAGCGAGATCGTAGGCACTCCGATCACAATGCACGTCGTCGTTCACCCAGCTCAAGCAGACAAAACCGCAGGTACCCGTTCTCTCTCCCACCTCTCTCTCTCTCTCTCTCTCTCTCTCTCTCTCTCTCTCTCTCTCTGTCTCTCTCTCTCTCCCTCTCTCTCTCCCTCTCCCTCTCCCTCTCTCTCTCCCTCTCCGCCTCTCCCTCTCCCACTCCCTCTCCCACTCCCACTGACTCTCCCTCTCCCTCTCCCGCTCTCGCTCCCGCTCCCTCCTCTCCCTCCCCTTCCCCCCCGCCTCTCCCTCCGCCTCCCCTTCCCCCTCCACCTCCACCTCCCTGTCCTCTCCCCCCCCTCTTCCCACCACCCCCCCCCCCCCCCCCCCCCCCCCCTCTCTCGCTCTCCCTCTCTTTCACTCTTCCTCTCGCACTCTTATCTACTTCATTTCTCTCCGTTTTGTCTCACCCCTCCCACCCGAGCACCCCTTTCTGTGTCGGGAATTCTTGTCTTTTTCTGTGTCGGCATTCCTTCGCGCTCCCTCTCGCTCATCGTACTCACTCTCCATGCCTTCCCTTTGATGCTTGCGTTCCGCGGCGTTTCCTGCGTCGTTTTCACATCTCTACTTTCGTCTGACCACCTCCTTCTGTTTGTTCTGTCCGCCTCTCCACCTGCCATCCCCCTATCTTTCTTCCTTCTGTTCCTCCTAACCCCCAATTTCTGTCCTCTCTCTCTCTCTCTCTCTCTCTCTCTCTCTCTCTCTCTCTCTCTCTCTCTCTCTCTCTCTCTCCCTCTCTCTCTCCCCCCCTCTCTCTCTCTCTCTCTTCCTCCCTCTCTCTTTGTTCCTTGCACTTGTGTCCCCCCCAACACCCCTGCTTTCCACCCCTGGCACTCCCCCTCTTCCCCCCTCCATATCTTCTATTTGCAGCAACACAACAACCAGCTGATGCAGCCTCAGGCAGATGTGGTTGCACCATTCTTTGATCTCGCCGTCCACCATCATTTCGCGAGGTTCCCAACTACTGGTCGAAGCTGCAAATCAATTATGATGAGATGCCCTGTGTAGATGCCTACTTTTGCTTTATTAGACTAATGTATGAGGAACTGCTGTCCGCTTGTAAGAAAGTTTTTTTCTTGTAGCTAACACAAGTCTTAATTTCAGGTGTCCACATGCTGAATCGGAGAATGTTATTTATGTGCTCAGTCTGTTCCCCAGTCTATGAAATACTTCACCAGTTTTTATCTTACCAACCGTTACATCAATCAGCTCAATCAGTCAACTTGATCATTTCAAGCAAGCTGGACGAGTCATCCACCATCTCCAACTAGATCACAGGTTTCCACACTGAGGCCATTGTTTCTGAAGATGAGCAATGTTAGAGCTTTTGTGTAAACCAAATGGCAGATAAAATTACGATGAAAAACAGTACAAGTCAACTCGTCAGCTTCATAATAAAGAAAACATACAATCAGATACTGTTAACACTAGCATACTGCTAAAACAGGCGCAGACCAGAGCAAACCTGG